GAGGATACTGAAAACAAAGTTAATGGGGTCTGGCACCAGCATAAGCCTAACTGGTAGCAAAGAATCCCACAGCAATTGGCTTTCCAGCACGTTTGATTTCACACAATAAAACGTGGTAGGAAAATTTCCACCTGTTGAAACATTTTGTTCTCAATTCTTTGTTTTTTCCTGGCTTAAGTTCACTTGGAGGCTGCGGCCTTTCCCAGCACAACCTGCTCTGCAGGCCACCAGCACTTGCTCTGCACCTCAGGCATGTCATATGCTTCTCACCAGAGCTCAGCCCAGCCAGGAAGCTCCCATCCTCCCTCCCCCACGCATTCCAGTTCTGCAGTTACTGGGAAAAGCCTCTCTGAGTATAGCAGCATACCACCGACTCCCCATCCACTACTGAAAATCAGCGTTAACACCCAAAACCACAAAGCCATACTGAAACTTGACACAACTCCAAAATGTGCAGGCTGCCCCCCCGTGTTATCTGTTAGCTCATCTGCACTCTTCCCTCAATGGTGGGTTGCACACCAGTGTGGGATGTGCTCCAAGGGCAGCCATCGCCCTCCTGATCAGCAGCCAGATGGAAGTTACGGTGTGGCTGAGATGGCACAGGTGCCAGCCTAGCAGCACTTCATTCTGAGCTGGTGTTGTCAGCACACTGCCTATAATCACTGCCTGCAGCCATCAGCACAGAGCCCGGGGTTGTGGCTTGTCACAGCTCAAGGGTTTGTTTCCGCAGAGGCTGAAAGTTGGAGGCCATCAGGTTATAAACCACAGTGCTGTGGTCTAGCTCACACCTTGCCATTTCCTACATGAAGAAAGCAGGCAAACCCCAGCTTCAGTAGCTTCCAACACAAAGGCAGCCCGAAAGGTTCACACCTCTGCAACAGCTGCTAGCAAACCTTCTACGGGCTGGCTGGCACTGATGGGGCATTCCCTGTCTCAGCAGGAGGATGAAGTTAACACTGTGGTGAGAAGCATTTCTTGTTCCAGGAGCAGGGAAACTGAAAGCTCAAAGCAGCCTCCCTCCAGAGCACACCCAGCCCAGTTCAGGAAGAAGCCAAAAGCCCTGGAGCTGCAGCAAAGAAACCTATTGATCTCAACAGTTGCTGATAACAACCACCACCAGAACAAGGCAGCACAGATCATCCAGGATATCCTGTTCCGTCACGAGCAGATGCACAAGATTACACAAGCCTTCCTTGTGCTGAACTTTCTGCTTTCCAGAGTGAACCTTGAGGCCAGTGAACACAGTGCTGTGCTCGGCAGGGCGGAGGAGAGGAGACAGCTGTTAGCAAACATGGCAGAGCCACATCTTGTTTGAACACCGCAGCTTATCAGAACAGTGAAATCTTCAGGAATGATCCATCCAACCGCTGCAATAAGGACTTCCTTCTCCAGCACGGTGGTGACGTAAGCAGGTCTAATAATGGATCACCCTCCTTGCTTCCCCAGAAACGTGGACATCAGGTTAAGCATATGATTCAGCTCTGAAATCCGTTTTTTGGAGAGACACCGTATGTTCAGAATTTGTTAAGCTGCAAGCTATTTGGGATCCACTATGCCTGATTTCATTGCACTCCTGCCTTCTGCATCAGCCCTAGCGCGAGGGGAAGCAGAGCAGTCCAGACACAGCAAAGCAGTGCAACTTCTTCAGACCAGTTCTGCCAGATTGGTGCTTTGTCCTCACCACAGAAGTCACCGTGCTGTCTGGTGAGCCTGTGGTTGTACAACTTCCGCAGAGGGGGTGTGGAAATGGCGTAATTCTCTCTAAGGGCACAACCAAGATTTCTCTTCCCGCTACTCAAGGACTCCTTTGCACAAGAGCACCTCACCACAAAGTGACACTTCAGTCTCAGCAGCAGCAGCAGAAGTGACACACGCAGCACAGCCCGCCGTGTGGCCAAACCACCCCACCTCAGGGAGAACAGCTGGGTTAGCTCACACCGTGCACTCACATCATTCTACACCTTCACACCTGACCACCTTGTAACCATTTACAAACCTACAACTGTAGAACCCTTAAAAAAAAAGGGTTAAAAACCCTTGCAGAATACTGGCACTGGTTTCAGATCAATGCTGCTTGGGTCTTCAGTACATTAACACAAGTTCACCTTCATGTAGCATTGTTAAAACTTGGTAACTGTTTCAAGATCTTATGATAGCCCCTTCGGCAGATGAAGCCAACTGTGTGCAGGATGACTCTCTGGCAACTTAATGAGGGCAGAAGAGCCCTCCAGTGTGCTGTGATCTGTTCCTTACAAGACCCTCCCACGCTGAGATTCACCAAGCACTAGCCAATGTGACCATGAAACCATTTCAAGCTGCTAGAACACATCCCAAGCTAAAAATATCGCTTACCTACCATCCTTCCCTTGGTGGCCATCACTACTGCTTCTCAGCAGGACCAAGAAATCATTTCTATACACCATCATGGGACCCAAAGTAGCAGCGAGTGTGGCTCAGCAGCACAGCTTACCTTCCACATCATACCACTGGGCACCATTGGTGATGCCCTCTGGGAAGGTCTCTCCCTCCTCACCAGGGCAATTTGGCTTGCCAGTCTTCATTATGGGGTGATGTGATGCATAAGCTTTTGCCAAATATTTGAACACTTCATCATCAGCTGATTTACTGTAGACTCCTGTGGGCTTATGTGTGGGCGAGTCATCATAGGGATAGCTTGCAACCACTGAGCCACCGTGCAGGTTGCCAGAGAGCAGAAACCTGGAGTTGGGAAGGAGAAGGAAAGAACTAAGAGTCACGTCAGAATGCTGCGAGTAAGAAGCCAGCAACAGCTGCCTCCACCAGAAAGAGAACTGAAGTTCAGCACATTTCTGAGCAGAGGTACCACGACCAATACCTGCATCCTTGCATCAGACAGCTCACGTGAATTGGGTTACACCTGCTATCTACTTCCTTTTGTTTGTTTTATTATTTAAGTCAAGCAGTTCTGTTTACCCGTTCCCTCCTGTACCAGCACTACGTTGGTGCAGTGAGTGCGGCAGCCCCAGCTGATGCACAAAGGATGGCATTCTTTCTATTCCAGCCTGGTTTAAATGAAAACCTCACCTCACCTTTGCAAAACCATTAAACTAACAAACAAAACAAAAAGTAATTTCCAAAATGATATTAAGAACACACAAAGGTTTCTCTTGCAGCTAAATCTGAACTGCACCAAACCAGGAGGCTCCTGGATAACCGAGCCGTCTGAGCAGGACACACCAGTCACGGTGCAGCCTGCAGGGCCTCCCCAAGCACGGCTCCCGATGGGCAGCCACACGCCGAGCGTTAACAAGGAGAGCCCTCGAACTAAACCTCGCTCCCCAAAGCTGAACGGGAGAGAGCGGAGAGCGGCCTGCGCCGCAGAGGGCAGCGCCGAAGGTCGGACGCCGGTAGGAAAGCAGCCCGGACGGCGCAGGGCCGCCCCGCACTCACTTGTTGCGCCGCATCCAGGCGATGAGGGCTCGCACCTCGGGTACCGGGCCCAGGTCGGGCTCGGATGCCTCGAATTGGTCGGGGAAGCTGCGGTTGAGGTCCCGGCCGCGGCTGTTCTCCCGGCCGCTCGCCCCGCCGCCGCCGCAGTCTCCCTCCCTGGCGCGCTCGAAGCCGTCGGGGTTGAGGCTGGGCAGCAGGTAGATGTCGGTGGCGTTCAGCAGGCGGCCGATCCGCGCGTCGCCGCCGGCCCAGCCCCGCACCAGCTCCCGGGCCAGCCGCAGCAGCAGCGGCCGCGCCAGGGGCTCGTCGCCGTGCATGTTGCCCACCAGCTTCACCTGCGGCCGCCCGGGTATGGGCGGCCCGCCGGGCTCCTCGCCTGCCCGGGGCGCTTCCTGCCCCGCCGTCAGTCGCAGCACCCACAGCGGCCGCCCCTCCACCGATTCGCCGATGCTGAAGAGCCGCGCCAGGCCCGGCGGGGCCGAGGCCGCCAGATCCCGCAGCGCCTCGCCCAGCTCGGCCGCGTGCAGGTACCGCAGCTCCTCGCCGGGCTCCGCCGCCTCCGCCTTCTTGATGTGCGTGCCGCGCGCCGGGCCCAGCAGCGCCAGCAGCGCGCAGAGCGGCAGCAGCACACGCGGCCCCCGCGCCGCGCTCGCCATGACCCCGCCGCGCGCCCCGACCCCGCCGCGCCGCGGAGCCGCCGGGCACCGGGAGGGGGCGGGCGCGCCGCTCCGGCCGCCGGCCAATGAGCGCCGGCCCGAGGGTGAAGCGGCCGGGGCGAGACGGAGAGCGGCCAACGGGAAGCGGAGGGCGGCGCTGCGTCACCGCGGGCGGGGCGAGACGGAGCGATGTGGCGCCCCCTGTTGGCCGCGCCGCTCCCGGCCTCGTGCCGAGCACCTCTCGCCGCGGGACGGAACGGCGGGGCTGCAGCGCAGTGCTACCCGAAAGGGAAAGGCGAGGCAGGGGAGCAGCAAACAAGCGTGGTCTGGGGATTGACAGCCCCGGTGCATAAGGGGCTGAGTATCGGCCCGGGGCCCCGGCTTACTGCGGGGAACCGGCCGGCCCGGAGCACTGAGGGCATCAGTGCAGTTAGATGTGAATCACAGCCGTGCTGGGTGCCATTGCAGGACAGCGTCTGAAGAGACAGACAATAATACTTGGGGGGTTCCTCTGATCAGATCTTTGCTGCTTCCCCCCCCCCCCTTTTTTTTTTTTTTCAGGCAGGTGGAATGATCAGGAATAACAAGGAGAACTTTGCAAAAAACACACTGCAGCCCATATATAAAAGAGGTCACCTCCAACACCGGGTCTCAGCAACTCCTGTTTAAATCCCCAATGCTATCTTCCACACACATCTACTTCCCAGCTCCAGTGTTTCCTGTTGGACACATGAGCTGAGTGTGACCCATAAACCTGCAACCTTTGGGGAACATCCATCCCTTGTGCAGATCTTTGCCATCTGCTGCACCACAGATCACAGCAGGCACAGCATCCAAAGGGCTCTGAGGAAAAGAAGAGCAAATCAGCTCCTCCTTCTCAGGGTTGATCCACGCTGTGTGGTCACTGGGAGGGAGATGAGCAGGGAACAGGGATTATTTATCAGAGAGGTTCCCGGGAAAGCTGAAAGACCTGGGCATTTTAAACTGAAAGGGAGAAGGAACATCAATGGGGAACTCAGCAATCTCAGAAATGGCCCCAGTTACATAGGTTACATCCTCAGTCTACAAATAAATTGCTTTGGATTTACACACAATAACTGAGCTTATTTCCCTTTTTAGCTGAAAAAGGCCCAGTTGTCTGGAATTTCAACAAACCAACTGTAAAAGCAGCATGAGGCAGAGGCCTGAGCTCTCGTCATTTCTCATCAGCTAGCACAAATAAAGCTCCCACCAGCCAGCCTGAGAGCTCTGCCTGCAGGCAGGGTGAGACTGCAGGTTAGGGACTGACCTGCACAACGCCTCCTGTTCCTCATGGGGGCTGAGCCTTTTGCCCTGCAGCATCACCCTGGTTTCCTCGGAGTGGTTCCCCATCAGGCAGGATGGGGCAGCCTGGTCTTTGCAGATTGCTCACAGAGGGAATGAGGGACGGCTCCGCAGTGGGGAACTTCAAACTGCTGATGTTGTTTGGGAGGTCTTCACAGGATCAAATCAGCACTTGATTTTCCAGCAGTGCACTTCCAAGAAGTCCCATTGGCAATGATAGTTCCTAGGCAGACAAAAATACCTTAGGTCCAGGCTGAAGGGCACCACAGCACAGCAGTGTCTTGAAAAAGAAGCAGATCGGGGAATTACACCAGGGAACTTCCCGCACTGGCCATAAGGGAGCTTCTAAATCCAGCAAGAAACAGGCACCCAACTTGGCATCAACCCCAGTCAATCTGGTTTCCCCTAGGAAGCAAAAATCCCTTGAATTTCAGCCCATCAATGGCAGTTTGTTTCTGTTCAGAAAAACAACAAAGTCATGGGGACCCTGCAGATAATCTCTGCTACCACAGCCTGCTGGGCAGGAGGCTGCCTTGGAGTTGCTCCCATTAGGTTGAAAATGGAGTTTCATGAGTACAGGATGCAAACAAAGGATTGGTATTATTCATCTGCCCGAGTGCTACTGTGTGTGAAAGTGGAAAGTTACTGAACAGGACCTTGCTGGGAAGATACAAGGACCAAACTTCAGAATCACAGAATCATTCAGGTTGAAAACGAGCTCTCAGATCCCCAAGTCCAACCCCAACCCACCCCATAATGTCAGTGAACAGCCTTCAGTGCCCATGGTTCTTGGACACCTCCAGGGATGGGGACTCCTTCACCTCCCTGGGCAGCTGTGCCACTGCAGCACACTCTGAGAACACATTTTTCCTAATTGAAGTGGAACTTAAGACAGAAACCTCACATCTATCTCCCGCAGATACCTGTACTATTCATTTAACACCAAGTTTTTTTCCCATGTGCTTTTATTTGGGACCGTATTTCACAGAGCAGGATGGGAACAACCACACCAGCGTTCCGCCTTTAGTTTTCTCAGTCAGCTTGGTGGCTGTGGGCACACCTGCAGCACTGACCACAACCCGGAGCATCAGGGATGAGGCTGGCGACAGACAGCAGTGATTTGGCAGAACCTTTGTGCACAGCCCTGAGAATTTCTGCAGTCTCTGGGTGCTCTCAATCACAGCACAGGATTCACAGGCCAGCACCTTGCTGTTCTGCAGTATAACTTAGACTTGCACTCCTGGGACACGGCTCAGTTTCTTCCACTCACTTCAAGGAGACGGAGTTGAAACGATCCTGAAAAAAATGATTGCAAGGATCTGTTTAAAGCTATGAGAGAGGCACAGCACGACGGCCCCGGCCTGCAGCCAGTAGGTGGCCCCCGCCACCCTCCAACCTTCATGCAGGGGTTGGTTCTTTTCCTTGTTCTTTTTCCCCCAGGGCTAAAACTTGCCCATCTTTCCTCTGCATTCAGTGCCAGAGAGCGTGACCTTTTATTTAAGGACGATCAAGAAATATGATGATGAGCCAAATTATATATTAAAAACAAAAAAAAAACAACGAAACTTGAGATTCTTCTGTGCCAATAGTGGAAAGTATGTGGGGTATGGGCTGAGTCTGATTGCAAAAGCAGGGCACGTCTCCAGTCGTCATACTTGGGGAAAATGGGGTTTGTGGGAGGCAGCACAGAGCAGAGGGTGCCCAAGCAGCACTCCCTGGCAGCCCTGCTCTCCTGCTCCGAGCTGGGTTTGGGTGTTCCTAAACAATGGAAGTTACAAAACATGTGGCACCACGTATTAAAAAGGGATTAGGAGAGGAGAACCACAAGGAGCAGCCTGGGGCAGAGCCTGGGGGACCAGCACAGCAGGACTGCAGCCAGTTACAGGCACTGCCAGCCAACGCAGAGAGGCAATCCCAACTCACACAGACCTGTGTGCATCCTGGGTTGCCCCGGACTGCAAGAGCAGCCCTCTGCCAGCAACAGCCCAGGGCGTTCTGAGCAGTGCTCTGCCTCTGGAGGCACCGAGGGCAGACTGGGACACACACTGCCCTGACTCTGAGCTGGAGGGTAACGCAGCCAACAGTCTCTTTCACGTTCTAAACCATTTCTTCTCAGGTTTCTAAGGCTTGCATTACACTCGAAGAGAATGGCGTTTATTAATTTATTCCCTTTGGGGCTGTTCAGAATCATACGTAAGAACAGCCTTATTTGGGGTTTGTTGGTGTACTGTTGCCATAAGGATGCGAGGAGGAGCCAGTGGATAATTCCAGCCCGTGCCCATGGAGCCCTCCCTGACACAAACAGCACACAGCAGAGCTGGCTCCTTGCAGGACAGCCACGGGGCTCCTCTGAAGGGGACCCTCCCGCTCTGACTCACTGGTGGCTGCTTTGCATTCTGGAACGAAGCTTATGTCCCTCCTAAGCATAATGAGAAGGTGGATAATGCAACCCACTCTAGATCATGGTGGTAATTAAGACACCCACAAGATAATTAAGCCCTATATAAAAATACATATGTAGAAAGTCATTGCGAAAGTAATTCCTTATCAGTTTTAAACTGTTGCCTTCCCGTATCTCTGGCCAATTAACACCTTGCTTTTCTAATCTCCCTTCTTACAGCACATCTCAAATGCCATTGCAAAACAGCGCTGCCATCGTTCAACGGCCACAAACCCAATGAACCCGAGCTCATCCTTCTGCCCATCACACACACCTGGGGCAAACCTTTTCCCCCAGCTCCCATTCAATGCTGTGCCCTGTGTCACCACCAAGCTCCCTGCTACCCAATGATCTCTTTCCCTCGCTCTTGCTTACAGACTGAAAATACCCCCCCAAACTTCGCTCTTTCATCCTTTACATCCTCACCTACTGTAAACTTCCTTCTTCACATGAAATATAATTGCAGAGCAGTGACCTGAGCTAAGCACAGTGTACCCTGAGGGTACTCAGCATTACAGGGCATGTCTCTGCTCCCTGCTCTGCCAGCATGCAGTCCAAAGTCTGAACCGGAGCACTTTCTGCAGCCTAAGAAGGACCCAGCAGCAGGACATGGGGCAGGAAGGGGCAGCTGGAGTCTCCTCAGAGGATAATTAGGGTAAGCTTCACAGAATCACAATTCTTATGGCTTGAAACAGCGTCGTGAACAGCCAGAAAGCTGAAAGGGAAGAAGTGTTATTTTTGGCAGGAGGTCTTTATGGCTGATGCAGGAACTTTCTCCTTAGTTATTCATTGTCTTGTCAAGACTCATAAAAAGCCAGCAGAGCCCAGCAAGAACTTCTCTTCAGTGTTCTGGGAGCTCAGAAATGCAGGAATTAAATGTGGCCTTGAACCCATTTTATGGATTCACTTCTTACGGAGCTACCATAAAACATTAAGAATCAGAGCTTATAAATAAGGAGAGGAAGGGCTGCACATTTCTTTTCAGAAGCCACCTCTCTGAGACTCTTCCCAAGGTAAGTCAGGGATGGGCAGAGAGTGAGAGACGATGACCTCAAGCAGCAGCAATCAAAGACAAAAATACCCCCTGGAGAACAGCAAGACATTGGCTCAATTTATGCCGTGGTGACCCCGACCCAGCGCCACCAAAGGCTCCCAACAGCTGCAGTCAATGCAGTGACCCTGCCTCTCTTTGGCAGGCACCAGCTGGGCTCCCCATGATGGCACAGAGAAGCAGACTCACAGCCTCCTGCCGAGTGCACATCCTCGTGCTTTGCTTTTTGGCACACGTAGCCACAGGTAAGTGATGGAAAAACGCAGCACTGTTTGTCCAAACTCCATCGTGCTGGCAGGTGAAACTGGCTGGGGTTGAGTTCTGCCTGAGGTGATAGGTAATGGCAGCACCCTGTCTTCGTATGCTCTGGAGATCACTCCTGCAGGACTGTCTAAGAAATGGCCTCCGATTCTGAGAGCAGCCAAGCAGGGAATGGGGAAGCTTCAGCATTTCAGTCAGCTGCACAGGAACGACGAGGCCATCGTGTTCACAGCTGCTCCATGAAGTGAGAACTGCAATGCACTTGGCCTGGGAATACCAAGGGGGAGACAAGGTGCTCTGGGCTGTTGTACTCACAGGACCACGCTGCCTTTTATTCTGAGATGCATTTTTCGGCTCATTCATTCATGACATCGGCTAAATTAGAGAGTTCCAGCTTGACAGAAAAATTTATTCCCCATATTGTTTTCCCATTTAATCCATCCTGAGGCTCTACGTTAGATTTACTGTGACTCACCAACCTTCTGGCCGCAGCAGAGGAGCTGACAAACAGCTTAATACAACGTTCAGCTCCAGCCAAAAAGCAGAACACCAAACTGTGGGCACAAAAACTCTTGGCACAGATATGCTACGACAGTGATTTGTGGCAGGAGGGTGGGCACTGCTGGCAGGGTGTTCTCTCACTGTGTGTTACATTATCAGTGCCACGACATGGTTTTCAGATGCTCTGTTATCTATCATAAGCCAGGCTTTGGAGTTCATGCAGTCAGTTATAAAACTTTCACTTTGATTTCAAGTAACCATGAAGGGAAATTTGTGATAAAGTTGCTTCCTATCTTAGAAACTGAAGTCCCACCTGAAAGAGGAGCGTTATGTTGAAGCCTAACGCTCTGATTGTTTCCTCCAAGCTCAAGGCTTAGAGAAACCACAGGCATTTGTGGGAAGGGTGCAGGGTAGGACGCCTAAATGCCCTCATTCTCCTTCTTTTGCAGGTGTAGAACTGTCTGTCAATAACTACAACGATGACTTCACCCTGATCACATCGCCCGGGTCTCTCGCCTCCCTGTCCTGCGTAGCACAGAACAGAAGCCAAGCCGAGGAGCTGCGCTGGTACCGAGGAGATGGCCAAGTGGATCTGAAAGATGAGAATAAAGTGAACATCAGCAACATCTGCATCTCTCCGGTCTCTGAGTCTGACAATGGCGTTGCCTTCACGTGCAGGCTGGTACGGGACCAGTCTGTGCAGGTCTCGGTGGTCCTGGACGTCCGCTGTGAGTGCTGCTATCAGTGTGGGACGGCTGGGTGGGCTCTGCCCCACCCCACGTGCTCAGCTGAGGGCAGGATGGTTTTGTGCCCTGGTGCACTGTATTCACCGGGAAAAAATGTGCTGAGAAGGAGATAGCTCACGTGATAAGTCACTCCCTTTCTACAGTGGTGCTTATAGCCTGTTCTAATGCCTCTTTTACAGGCAATGGGTGGGCCCTTTAAGTAAGATTTTCTGGCTACATCCCTGCCTCCACCTAGACTCTTTCTCAAGGATGCAAGTTGGGGCAGGAAAGGCACAGTAGTAAATGTCATGACTGCCCGGTTGATCCATAGGGATCACGATGGGGCACAGGACAGCATGTGTGCTCAGATGACAGAACTGTAGGGGCTGGAAGGAACCTCAGGGGATCGTCAAAGTAACTCCCCTACTAAAGCAGGTTCCCTACAAATGGTGTCGCAGTTGATGTGAACAGGGAACCTACTTACTTACAGGAATGACCTCTTTAACTGTTCTTACTCTGAACAGTTCCTCCCTCTGTGGGTGAAGATCAGACCATCAGTGTTGAAGAAGGCAAAGACGTCACTCTGTCCTGCAGTGCCAAGTCCAACCCTCAAGGCCAAACAACATGGTACAAGAACAACGCCATCCTGACAATAGAAGACCACTACCAGGTGTACCAGAACAGTGAGACCTTCCAGCTCTCTATCAAGAAAGCACAAAAGTCTGACAATGGGACCTACACTTGTGAGGTGAAATCTTCTTGCGGAGACAGCAGTAAGGATATCCACCTGATAGTTGAAGGTAACAAAGTTACTACTAAACATTAAGTTGTAACGCCAGCTCTGCATTGGCTTTTGCAATGGTAGCAACCCACTGTGAGTGGGTTTACATCATGGAAATTTCCCACATGAACTTCTGAGAGCAGCAAGGAGCTCTCTGTGCACCTGTGCCTGCCTGCACAGCACCAGAGAAGGCCCATCCTGCTTTACCTGTTATTCAAAAGCATTTGGCAAGTGTGACCTGAAGTGGACTCATCCCACTTTCTCACTTCCCATGATGACAGGGCACATCCAAGCGTGCTTTAAAGCACCTTAAGTCTCTCTTGAAGCTTCTAACCACACTGTTCTGTCAAGCTGAAGAAACAAGCTGCTTAAGGCAATGGTGCTGTGCTGTCCTCCAGAAATTATGGTGCCTCCATGGGCTACAGGGAGCTGGGCTGGGTGCCCACATCTCAGGGAGCCAGCAGACTCAGGCACCCACTGCCCATCACTCCTATGGATGTCCTGAAAGCTGGGCTATGGGTGGCACAGCTAGACACACACACCCTGGGGAATCTACTTCAGGGACCAGCGTTTCAATTCCTCCTTCCACTCACCGACACAGAAACGTGCCTCTCTCCAGCTCTGTGAGATGACTTTACTGTGTGACTGCACCAATCTAACAGTCAACCTCCTCTCCCTCTTCACAGATAAAAAAACTGTTTTCCCCACGGAGGCTGTTATCGCTGCTGCTGTGGTGGTTGCACTCACCGTGCTTTTTGGAATCGTGGCTCAGAAAGACAAAATATTTAAGGTATGCAAAGACTCAGTTTCTTAAGAAAAATGTAATGCTTCAATGTCCTTTTATTTTCCACCTTTCCTGGGCTGCTTTGTAGTGCTGTTTTCCAGTGCTAGGGAGCCATTGTGTAATATCAGCTCCTTGAGAATTACTAGCAAATAAATCAAATCTCAGGCTTTTTAAGGGGAGTGAATTACACATGTGCAAGAGCTCAGTAATAATACCTCTCTGAGCAGAAAACGCAGACAGTAACAGCATTCTCTCTTTCTTTTCAGTGCTTCAAAAAAACAAATGATACAGCCCTGTAAGTATCTGATCGCACAACCACACAGCTTCCCAGAATAAGGGCCTGAATGCAACCCCTTCTTCAAGCTCTAGCAAAACATGATAGCACCCACATGCTGCCCTGCTGCCCTGCAGCTCTGGATGGCTGCTGTCACCCCTCACAGCTGCAGGGCTGGGACGTGGGGACACAGGGCAGTGACACGCATGAAAGTGAAAGGAAAACACTCCGTGCAGGGGGAAAAACCTCACCTGTGTGTGCAGCCACAGCCATTGGGAGCTGAGTTCAATTCAGCCATTGGCTTTTTTTTTTTTTTTCTCCACTGGTAGTGAATTTCCACGTTGCTCCCTTTTGTTGCAGGTAAAGATGGCAGGGAAGCTTTGCATACCCAGAAAACCCCATTCGAAGTGGTGGCACAGCTGCACGAGATTAGGCACCTAAACACAACTCCGGACACGAGCTTTGTGACAACACAAGCATCATTTCACAGCTACTGATCGCAATCACTGCTCAGAACGCAGACACGGGGCAGGAGGCTGAGGGACCGCCGCACCTCGTCCCACAGCCCCGAGCCTGGGATGCCGCGCTGATGGCGGGCCACGCAGCCTGTCTGCCTCCCCCCCCCGACCGCCCCTCGGCTTCATTTCGGGATTGCATCTCACCGCCAATAAACGCACCGTGCCATACGTTAACTCGAGTCTGTGGTGCACACGCTGCTGTCGGGACAGCAGGGCGCTCCGTGCAGACCATCGCGATGAGCGCCAGACCGCGGCGCCGAACGTTCTGGAGAAAAGGGCGCGGCGCGGAAAGGGGGCGGAGCTTCGCGAGCTTCGGCGGGCTCGGCTCGCGCAATCCGACGCCTTTTGTCCCTCTCCGCCCGCCGTCCCCCTCCCACCGCCACCCTCAACGTCGAGCGGCTCGGGCCCCACTTCCGGCTTCCGGTGCCGGGGCTATAAGAGCCGCTTCCGGCGGGGCGCGCGCGACCCGTTGGGAGGGTTCGGCTGTTGTGCAGCGCTCCGCTTTCCGGCACCATGAATGCCCATGGTGAGGGGCGGGCGCACATGTGGGGGGGCCTCGTCCACGGGGGGTGGGCTCACCATGGCGGTGGGCCTGGGGAGGGGGAGGCTTATCTCTGGGGTGGGGTCTCTGTGATGAAAGCCCGCGAGGGGCTTTGGGCCTGGGGTCGTCTTGTATCCCGCTGCGGGGCGCTTATGCTGCCTTCCCCTTCCCCCCTCCCATTCCCTGCAGCAGGGCTCAGCACCGAGAAGGCCGCGGCCTTCATCCGGCGGCTGCGGGCCGAGCCGCAGTTCCTGCTGGCCCAGAACGTGGCGACCTGCAGCGACCCGCTGGAGGTTTGTCTGCAGCGGCAGGTGGTGCAGGAAACCATACAGGTCTTCCAACACGCCGTGCCCGCCGAGGGCAAGCCTGTCACCAACCAGAAGAATTCTGGTAAGTGGGGGCTTTGGGGCACCTGGGGTGGTTGGTTGCCTCCCTATGGGTGTAGGAATCTCTGCTGGGGGTCTCAGATCAAGAGGAGCTTTGTTTAGGGTTGGGCATGGCAGGGTGGGCTCACTGCTGGGCTCTAGGAGGGATTCTGGTGGCAGTGAGTTCTGAGAGCAGCTGCTGGAAGTTCTGTGGGTGATCTGACATGGAATCCCTGCAGCAGGGTGATATCTGCCTTCTGGTCCTCTTTCCCTTCTGTAAAGAGCAAGATGGAAGCAGTTGAGAGACCTGCATGCATGGTTCATAGGAACATAGAATCATTAAGGTTGGAAAAGACCACTAAGATCATCAAGTCCATCCAGGACTTCTGAACTCACTGGTTATTCAGTAACCTACAGTGCTGACCAGGGCACTGGTCCAAATGCTTAAGCTGGAATGCAAAATTCATGGTGTTGCTCTAAGCCCTTACATAGCTCTGAATACAAGCGTTGCAGTTTAATTCTTGTTTCTTTGACCTCAGGGAGATGTTGGATCTTTTCCTGCCTCAATGCAATGCGTCTTCCCTTCATGAAGAAGTACAACATTGAAGAGTTTGAATTCAGCCAGTCATATCTCTTTTTTTGGGACAAGGTACAGTACTGCAGGCCACAGACTGTGCTAGGAATGCTTATACAACTGAGTCTTAGTAGTGGGGCAGAATTTTTCTTAAGCTGGGCTCTCTGAACAATCCAGATAGAAAATGTGAGTACAAAGAACCACCAGAAATTTTTAAATATATATTTGAAATTAAGATTGGGCAAAGTGAGACTTGTGGCTTGAGGAGGAAGTCATCAAGATGTTAATGTTCTGAAGTAGTAAAAGTCTTTCAAGTGTTCTGAGTATTTTAATAGTTATTTATGGTAGGCCCAGCGGGAAGCCTAAGCCTGACTGTAATTTTCTGTGGAGCTCTTTCAGTCGTGCTTGCCACCTACTGATCTGGGAGCTGTTTGCTTTTTTCCTGAAGGGAAATTGAGAAAACCTAGCACTTGTTTGTGCCAGGCTTCGTTATATAACTTGTTTCACATTTCCTGTTTCCTCTGCCCTCGAGCTCTGTACTAACTCACTTGTAAATACATGGTCTGCACTAGAAATAAGCTTTTGGTTAAGACCTGGGATGGGAGAGGGAAAACAAACATGTCAGTGGATGAGCAGATAGTTTCATCTAGCTCCAAAGAACTGAATACTGAATGGGAACGAGTCCATGCGTGTATCACACAGATTTGTCCTGTCTGTTCGTTGTAGGTTGAACGTTGTTACTACTTTCTAAATGCCTTTGTGGAAACAGCTCAGAAAAAGGAACCCATAGATGGAAGGCTGGTGCAATTCCTGCTCAGTAACCCCACAAATGATGGAGGCCAGTGGGATATGTTGGTTAACATTATAGGTAAGGGAATTGGGTGCTGGGAGTCCTAAATTGTGCTCTGATTTGGGAGATGATCCAAAATTGTTTCCTTTCACTCAACGTTTGATACTATACTTGATACTACAGTGTAGGGTCTCCTAGGTCATAGAGCAGCTGGCACTGCAGAAGACTTCAAGTAGAGGTTTGCTTATACTTTTCACTGTAACCTGTCCAAAACCAGCCTGAAATGACTGAGGTAAATACGAGGAGTAACAAGTTGGCTCTGAGCATAAGGCTTATTACATCTTCTATGCTTTTATGCCTGAAAGTAAGTTGTTGTCTGTCTCAGAGCGTTCTGCTAATGGAAATTTATGAAAAATGGAATTCAATGGAAAGCACTGCAGGTGAGATGAAGTCTGGAGAATTGTGTAAGTTCTGCTGGACTTAGTCACTGATTTCCAGCTTTGCTTTCTTTAATCTTCCGATACACCATGTGAAAAAGCAGCTAACCTATTTTCTAACCATGCTTCTTTTCCAGTAACCATCACCTTTCTGTTGTTAGCACAGGGAGAAAAGGGGTATGAACTTCCATGAAGATGGGTTTTCTTGTTGTGTACTCAATCCTCAGGTGTGAGGCATGCAGGAAGAGCTTGTAGCATGCCTCAATGATTGATGTGTTCAAGATTCCTTACTCTGACAATCTGTAGTAGTTAGAAATTGAGTATGAGACCTGGAAGCTTGTTAAAAGGCATGACACTTAGTGGCTGCCTTCTTCAATCAAGGATCTTATTGTAAGCATTAGGCTTAAATCTTCTCTAGGATCTTTATTTTTGCATATTGCTGCTTCTGATAGAAGCTCAAAATCAGCAGGATAATTAGATACCCCAGTTGTCAATTCAGTAGTAAGTTTCAGTCCCCTTTTACTTCAGTCTCAACTCGAAGTTGTTGCCTTTGTGTCCATGCATGCAGTCGTCGTGCACAAGGCAAAGAAGAGACTTTGTTAGACCAGGGTGTGTCTTCAAGGCAGAAGCAAAGCTGCCCTGATTTGCAGCCTGAAGAAAGGAGATGTAAAGATTGGTGAGAGGGAAATCATATGGAATGTGGCAGTGCTGGTCTTACGAAGGTGCAATTTAGGGAGCATCATCAGCCTTAGTGCTGGTGTTTGAATTAAACTAGCAACTGCTTTAATTGGTATGATAATGCAATTGAAGGCCTCTGTAAGGTAACAAGCCAATAATGTAAGTTTAGAATCACAAAAGAAAATTGTTTCTTTGAAGCCTGGGGTGACTTTTTTCACTGTTACAAACACTTAAACAAGGCAGAGAGAACTTCTGGCTGCTGCTGTTGCATCCAGAACCTTGAGTGGAGTGATCTTTGGTACTGAGGTGTAGGAAATGGTTACTGCTGATGCTTTATCAATGTTGAGTGAAGGAGAGTGGGAAATCTTAAACTTACTTAAACTTAAACCAAATACATGGAATGATTCGTGAGTTCAGTTTTTCTGAAAGATTTTTCAGGATCTTCATTTTCATGCGAACTTTTTCTAGTGAGAAAGAGCTTCTTCAGAGCACTAATTAATCTGGGAGGGCTCAGTGTCAGATGGAATGAATCGAGCCTCTCAGTGATCCCATTCCAGCAGTGATTGCTAACCCTCAACTTAATTGCTTTCAGAAAAGTATGGTGTTGTTCCCAAGAAATACTTTCCTGAATCTCATACCACAGAGGCTACTAGAAGGATGAATGAGATCTTGAATCATAAGGTAAAAGTGGCTTTTATGTTACGATTAAAGAAGGGTGGGAATGATCCTGCTTTCAGATACTCTTTCATTTCTTTTCATTGGCTGAAGTTTTAAGTGCATCTCAGAAACTGAACTCGTTTTATTCAAAAGGCAGCCTGAACTCATAGCAGTTAACCTTGAAATATGAAGCAGGAAAATGTGTTTATGGAAGAAGATGGCCATTGTCAGGCTTCAGTAGCTTGAGAGCATCACATAACTTTAGTAGCAATTGTTCCTAATGATCAAATCTCTGAAAAGCTCCCGCTTGATTTGTGGCTGTAGCTTGAATCCTAAACTGCAGAAGTGAATTAATCAGGAGGTTGGTAGTGTAGGTGGCCAGGTAACTGTGACTAGATGAAAAAGCTTCAACTGCATTTTTATAATGGGCTTTGATTATTCCAGTTCATAAGGAATATGCTAAGAGGAAAGTGCCTTTGGAAATACATAATGCAAAATCTGCTGCAGTGAGCCCAGACGTAATGGTGGTGCTGATGTTCTTCTCTTCAACACTGCAGACCAGCTGGTCTTGAGGGAGCTCCTGTCACTGCTTCTCTGCCTTATGGATGATGACAGTAATGGAGGCATGTGCTGCTCTTACTGCAATTCTGTATGCGGTGGGGAAGTGCTCCATTATTTTTATCAGCCAAGATATTAATTATGCATTAGAATTGCAGAATTAATTTTACAGTACGGAGGCAGTCTGCTCTGTGAGTCAGAGGTGGCCATGAGTTTGAATGTTGCAGCACTAGTTATGTTACAGAACCAAGGGGAGCCAAGCCTTAAGAGAAGCTGATGGCTTAAGCTTCAGAATAATTAGAAAATACTCATTGAATTGCAGGTGCTTGTAGATTTTTTTTTTTTTCTGTGCTGTTTTCTTGTATGTAAATGAGAATCTTGATTTTAAAGACTCAATATCTAACAAGACATTCCAAAGTGGATTTCTTTTTGATTTTGAAAATGTTATGAAGGGTAAAATGGGTGCTTGTTACAACCTGGATGGTTGGAAGTCCTGAAGACTGATTTGGCAGCACCTTTCATAACCTTAAAATAAAATGACCTTCTCCTTAAACAGATGAGAGAGTACTGCTTGCGGCTGAGGAACATGGTGGCAACTGGAACAAATAAGGAAGAACTTTGTGCTGCAATGGACACCATGATAGAAGAGGTAAATACAGTGTGATAAAGGGGAGACCAGAGTGGAAGGAGGTTTCTTGGTCAAACTGATCTGTAGATATCAGGATA